TACTTACTTCCTGAAGGCAACAACTTTAATCTAAATTATCCAAGTAATGTGATATTCTGATGTATTTAATACTCTCATTAATAGAATAATTCTGTGTATTCTGTATACAAATAAATGAGGTGGATAGATAGATAGGATGACAAGGAAATATGCTTAATATTACAACTATCATGAATAGACTTTATTCTTTCCTTTATAAATGAGGATCTTGTCTCAATAGCATACACAAGAATGTGAGTTAATACATTATAGAGGGGTATATATTTTAGGACTAGGCTATAATAATAGGAAAATCCAACAAATAAGATGAAAGATCACCTACTATAATGTGATCTCTTGTGTTCAGAGTGAATTGGTCCTTTCTGCACTATGAATATTCACCAGAAGATTCAGTGGTTCTTCAGGCAATTTAGATGTGTCTTAATATCCCAACTGGAAAAATAATTCAGAACATGTACTGGTAAGTCCAGTGCTACTCTGATGGATTGCTCTCATCTCACATGTTTGCCACATGGCATTTTATATCTATGATATAAGCAGTAATATTATCCTCAATCAAGGTCGCAAAGCAAGTCACTTTCAGAGCTATGGGATTAGTGCTCAGAGTTCTTGATTTCATTCTCAAACAGGTGTGCCCTAGTTTGAGAAAATCTGTTATACAAACTACCAACTCACAAAATAGATGAAGTAATTGGTGATTACTTACATTTCAAAAGACTTCTTTTTAGAACTGCTTAAAACAGACATTTTTGAAGAGTATAATATAGCCAAAGGAGCTTAGACTATTTCTAACCAAACCAAGAAGCCTAGTTTCTCTGCTATGTCATTAATACAGTAATGCAGTACATAAATTTCATTCATTGTTTCATTCATTCATTCATTCACTCATCTACTAAATCATTCATATTGTTATTCAGTGAATCTTTCATGAGTATGTTGGATATACAAAGACTAAGACTTGTATACATGGCTGTCCTTGAGGCATTTAAAAGAGAGAGACAGATGTGTAAGCAAACAAAGGAAATAAATATTTAATGATACAGACAAGGAAGTAGTCTAAGCAAGATGGAAGAGTGAACTGTAGCAGTAGGGGTAGGCTTGGAAAATGAGGAAAGAATGCTGTGCTAAAGGAATAGAATTCACATGACATAGGCTGGGGTTGGCTTAGAGGTAGAGCACTTGTCTAGCATGTGTGAGGCACTGGGTTCGATTCTCAGCACCACTTATAAATAAATAAAATAAGGTCCATCAACATCTAAAACAAACAAAAGAATCCACATGACATGATAACAGATTGGATGCAGGGCTCCAGGAGAGAGATAGTCTTGGGATGACTTTTGGCCTAGGTTACTTGGTTCAACAGTGGTTTCATTCATGAGGAGAGGGAGTTTAAGAGGAGGAGGTATTGAGGGCGTATGGGGTAGAATTAGATTGATTTTGGATGAGTTGAGTAGAAGAATCTAATGGGATGTCCAGGTGAAGTTAAGCAATCACATATTCCAGGCTGGGATTCAGGAAAGAGGACTGGGATTAAAGAATCATCTGAAGGGACTGGGGTTGTGGCTCAGTGGTAGAGCACTTCCTGGCATGTGTGAGGCACTGGGTTTGATTGTCAGCACCTCATATAAATAAATGAATAAAACAAAGATCCATCAACATCTAAAAAAAATATTCACAAAAAAAGAATCATCTGAAGAAGCATGAATAGAAAAGAATGCAGTCATCCATGGAGAGCCAGTAGATATGGAGAGAATAAGGAGTGAACCCTAGGCAGCAAGAAGGTAGAAATACAGGAGCTAAGAAGGAATTGTGGAAGGAGACTGGATTATGTGTCAGGTGAGCTGAGTAAAGACAGAATTTCAGGAATAAATGTTCATAATGTTAAGTATTGAGTAGAATCACAAATGGAGAGAATATGTGGACTTTTAGGTTGTCAGTGTCATTTGCCAAAGCAATTTAGGTGTGCTATGGGGCAAAACGTTTAAGAGTAAATGGAAGTAGAAACAGAGGAAAATAGATGGGATAGTAAAGTTGTTTTATTTTAATAATAATAAACACATCTTCACTTATATAGGATCCAAGGAAGAAGCTGTTGGGAAGAAGTTGAAAATATAGGAGAAAGGAAATTACAGAAGAAGAAGTTTCCTGATTTAGAGTGGCAAAGAAATGGGAAGGTTATATAGTAAAAGAAAAGGTATATATAGTAAAAAGTACCTTTTCTTTTGGCACTGAAGGGAGTGAGGAGGGTTGTTTCATTCTTGTATACATGAATTAGGTGTAGGAATTTCCCCTATAACCAAGTAGTTCTCTAGCCAAAAACTCTTACCTAGCAGGAGTATGATAGAAATACCATCAGAAATAGCAATAGGCTATTAAACTGATGTTAATATGGGTTTGCCCAATTTATATAACAGAGCACATATCATAAAATTTAAGTATATTTGTCCTATAATGGAAACATAAATCTCAGCAGTTAGTGGAACGATCTTGTTATCTTAAAGGCCTTAGTTCAGTGTACAAGACTGAATTGAATGAGGTAATGCCCTAACATGTTTTAACAATGTCTGGCCACACTGAACAGTGTACACTCGACGGGAGAAACAACTGCTGTCTTACACAAGGCACTTACATTGTACTTGCATTTTTTAAAGGATATATCATTTCATACATATATCATTTCATACATAATCCCCATATGCTGACAAAGCTGATAATGTTCATCTTTTACAGATGGTTAACCTGGTTATACTAACAATATATCCAGTACTAATGGAAGAGAATATCCAAAGATCCAACCAAACACCAATATCACTTCAAAAGATTAACTTCCTAAACTGTCCCAGGTTCTCTCTGATTCCCTATAAAATTGCAGTGAGCAGTCAAGATTCTAGACTAAGATTAACGTTTCTAAAACCGGCTAATCTTCCACATTACTGGTGGCAATGCTGTTCAATACAAATAAAATGTGAGCCATTTGAGATTTTAAATTGTGTAATTACATTACAGCTAATTTCTTTTATTATTATTATTATTATTATTATTATTGGTTGTTCAAAACATTTCAAAGCTCTTGACATATCATATTTCATACATTTGATTCAAGTGGGTTATGAACTCCCATTTTTACCCCGTATACAGATTGCAGAATCACATCGGTTACACATCCACGTTTTTACATATTGCCATACTAGTGACTGTTAGCTAATTTCTACTTAACAGAAAGTTACATGTGAAGCCTGAGGGTTCATAAACCAGATGTTTTAATTATTCCTCAAATACAGTCAATTCATGCAGTATCTAATGCTAATATATTTAGGCTGGGTATGGGAGCACACACCTCATTTCAGCATCTCGGGAGTCTAAGGCAGGAGGACCACAAGTTCAAAACCAGCCTCACCTAAAGTGAGGCACTAAGTAACTCAGTGAGACCCTGTCTCTAAATAAAATACAAAATAGGGCTGGGGATATGGGGATGTAGCTCAGTGGTGGAGTGCCCCTGAGTTCAATCCTCAGTACCCAAATCCCCCCCAAGAAGGAAGTTTACTGTGAACTCTCTGCTGGTTCATTCTTGAAACTAGTAAATAAATAATTGAGTTTAATTTTGCAGTTACTCTTTCTAAATCCGAGGCATAGGTCCCTCAGACTTAGCAGAAAATAACCGTTGGATATCTTCCCTCATTTTCTTTCCTTCTCTGATTCCTTCCCTGTGTTTCATTATCATTTTTAGTTGTCACTTAGTCTGCTATTGCTTATCTCCCAGGAATACAGAACTATAGCTGCATGAATAAGTATGGGGTTGCACATTTGTGTCATCAGAGAGTCCCAGTAATGGCTGGAAACACGTACACTTGCTGTTTTAATTGTGGCGACTGCACATTGGCCTTTGATATTGTTTTATTACCCTGTTGTCTGTGAAATGAAGGCTTGATTAAAACAGGCTTTAGAGTCTTGTCTCAGCTATTTTAATGTGGCCAGGACTGAAGCTGTGATTGCCCTTCTTCATATTTACATACTTATTTCTATCACTACTACTGTGATTGTCCTGCAGTGTATATTTTTCCCTTGTACTTAAAGCTCCCTGGAATTAGTCTAGTGATGTACTGATATACACACCATGTACCAATCGTTATGTGAAGGTACTCTACACTTGATCACAGAAGTCTCTTTCTTCATAGTTCTAGTATTAGTCAATTTCACAGAGCTCTTTTTAATTTAATTTGCTTCTTAAATAAAAGGTCATTTTCATTCTTGCATCTCTTTCCTATATTGTGAAGAACTGAAACAGAATAGCTTATTATGGAAGCAATTTATCAGTCAGATAAACGTATTATTCAATAAACACTGACATGCAAATACACACAGCTGTAGATAATTAAACCTTCTCTTGGTTTTCTATTTTGCTAATCATCATTCTATTTGGTGCTTTTGATTTTAATTAATTAATTAGTTAGTTATTAATTTGATCTTAGAGGTCATTCTTGAAGCCAGAATTATTCTTCCCACTGCAGGAATACCTGAGATGACTTTCTAGTCCTTATGTGCGTTAAAAGAACCAAGCACTTGATGGAGCTGAGCAGGCAAGGTTGTAGAGGGGATGAATATGGCAGAAATTTTGTGGAGTTTGAAAGGCTCTTGCATTAAGCTTATCCATATTGTTAGGATCTTTATAAAATACAAATCTTTAAAAATACAATTCTTATAGTAATGAACTGGATTTGTTGTGTGATTCCAATAGTCTGTTGATAAAAAGAAATATAATTATTGTTTGTCCTCTGACATAAGTTATAGTGGACTCTACCCTGAGCCACAGAATTAGCCTTATAAGTAAACTGAAAAGTTTCATTGCCTAAAATTTTCATATATCCATGTGGTTTCCAGGAAAAATCAGCATCTTCAATGTATAACATGTATTTCATAAATAAAGTAATTCACGTGTTTTGTATAACTTAGTGTTTTTCTTGTTAACACTATACTAACTTTAATCTGTATGTATTTACTAGGAAATTGCCCGGCATTTACGCCCTGGAACCCTAAGAGCAATCTTCGGTAAGACTAAGATCCAAAATGCTGTTCACTGTACTGATCTGCCAGAGGATGGCCTGTTAGAGGTAAGGGAAAGAAAGGTAGACCTTATGTTTATATCACACACTCAGAAATACTCTCAGCAGTTGGCATGTAAGAAACCATTTCATATTCTTCCACTGCACTGTTACTTGGACATCTGATAACTTCAGACTGTAGAAGACAAAACCATAGCTGGGCACAGTGGTGTGCACCTGAGGCGAGAGGATTGCTAGAGCACAGGAGCTCCAGCTCCAGTCCAGTCTGGGCAACATAATGAGACTTCATCTCCTTACAAAAGAAGTCCAAACTAGTGTGGTGTATATAACTGGGCCAGCTTCAAAGAATTAAGTGTTTTTTTTTCCTGATTGCCATATATTATAGTTTAAAATAATTTAATAAGAAACTATAACATAACTGAATCTTTTAAGATATAATTTTAAAGCAGGCAATAGTATCTTTATTCTAAGCCATGAAAATATTCCAATGGAATTAAGAACTGCGGTATACAATGTGATAGCATTAAAAGTAATAGCTGCCACTTAGTAACTTTCTATGTGCCAGGCCCTACCATGATAAGTGCTTTTTATGAGTTATTGCTCCTAATTGTCATGGCAACTCTAATAGACTTGTAAAGTTAGATCTAGTTTTTCAGGAACACGCAAGTTAGACTCACAAAGATTAAGAAACAGACCCAAATGAAACAGTTATTAAGCAACAGACCCATATTTTGGCTTCTCATCTAGTGGAATAAATTAAGAAATGGTGATAAAAATTCTAAAAAAAAGAAATGTAAAAATTGATCTGATTTGGGGTTAAGAAAGTTGTTTCTAGACCAAAACAAAGAAATTTTTTTTAAAAAAAAGTTTAAAAAGTTAATTTTTAATTTATTAGTTGAAAAAAATTTAAATATCAATAGAAACTAAATGAAATTAAAAGACATATCTCCATGAATCTGTCCACCTCCATGCATGTGTGTCTCTTTTTATGCAAAACATACTTTTTTTTCATGCAAGACACAGGCTTATTCTATTAAATTTATTCCCACCAGTTTTGTTTCTGTTGTATTAGTTTCATCAAGATATTCTGCTATAATCCAAGATGTCATCTACTGAAGTCTTATCTAAACTGTGAACCTCAATATGAAATTTTGACATACTTGTGAAATAGAAAAATGTAACAAGTTTTGTTTTTAATTACCGAAAAGATTACATGTTTATTTTAAATTCACCTGTTTTATAAATATTCTCTTTTCCTTTTGTTAGTTTAGGGCCTATACATTAGGTTGGAATAGAGACTATTACTCAGTGAAACCAAATATTATTAACCATGAAATTTATACGCCTTGCAAATGTTATCCCAAGTATGCCTGTGGTTTTGTTCATACAATTTAAAATAGATTATTGCTGCCTTCAGTTTATAAAGACATTTACTAAATGACTAATATCTAATATCGCTGCATTGAAGATTTCACTGCAAATTATCAACTGTGCAGTCTGAAGAATTAATCAAAAACTGGAAGTTGGTGCTCTAGCAGCCTACTTGCGTATTTTTCTAAAAATTTGTTCTTTTTAGATATACATGATAGTAGACTGTATTTTGACATATTAATACATCCATGGAGTATAACTTATTCTAATTAGGATCCCATTTTAGTGGTTTTGCATGATGTGGAGTTTCATTGATCATGTATTCATATATGAGCATAGGAAAGTTATGTCCAATTCATTCTATTGTTTTTCCTATTCCCATACCCCTTCCCTTTCCTTCATTCCCCTTTGTTTAATCAGATGAACTTCTTCCATCCCCACCCAATTGTGTGTTAGCATCAATATGTCAGAGAGAGCATTCATTCTTTGGTTTGGGAGGACTGGCTTATTTCACTTAGTATGACAGACTCCATCCAGTTCCATCTATACTGGCAAATGCCTTAATTTCTTTCTTCTTTATGACTTGGTAATATTCCTTTGTGTATATGTATACCACATTTTCTTTTTCAATTCATCTATTTGAAGGATACCTAGGTTAGTTTCATAGCTTTGCTATTGTGAATTGAAGTACTATAAACATTGACGTGGCTGTGTCACTGTAGTATGTCGATTTTTAAGTCCTTTGGGGGTAAACCTAGGAGTGGGAAAACTGGGTCAAATGGTGGTTCCATTCCAGGTTTTCTGAGGAATCTTCTTACTGCTTTCCAGAGTGGTTAATGCATACTTGATGCAACTTGGATGACTCATCCTGTTATCGATAAAATGGAATAGAGAATGCTGACAGGGCCAGGGATGTGCTATTAGTTAGGAAATAATGATTTGCTGGCTTTATTTGTCTTTAAATAATAATTAATATGAAAGCACTTAAAGGCCAAAAGTCCAAGAGTTATCTGCCCATAGAGATCCAAAGAGTAGTTCAGGGTGACACTAAGACCAGCTCCCTTTTCCAGGAAGTACTTGGTTCTCTAGCACTGCTGGTCGTTAAAGGAGCATCGTTTTGGGGTAGAGTGACCTTAACATTTATCACCCAACCCAGGATCCTTTTGAAAGGCAGCTCCTGTGGGACAGGAGGCATAAAGCTGAATGTCACAGGCAGAGTGAATTGCCATCCTGTTCGAACAGCAAGAAGAGACAAAGGAGTCTTACTTCACCTTGCCCTAATGTGATGTTTACTGAGCTGTGTTTGTGTCACATGTATAGAGCTGAAAGTGTGATTTCGGTTTATATTTTTCCATCATCCATTATTTCCCATATGTATTTGTACAGTAGACAGTTTTAGCACTTGTCTCACTTGCCGGCATTGTGACAGCATTTTAAAATCAAACAGGACAATTTCTCTGTTCTCATAGAGTTCACAGTAAGTTGGAAGGTCAAAGGTCTTAGCACGAATATAGAAATCTGATTTTTTTTGATGGCTGCTGGTGGTGACAAAAGTCATTTTTGTAATTATAAGGCAGCACCATGTTTATAACATGAGACATCCTGGAATGTTCTCTCACTGGCTGTGTGCTCTGGCACTCTGTGGCAGTAATGCCAAAGCTCTTAAATTTAGGTGTGAAAGCATCAATGGAGAAAATATCCACCTAACTAGTAATGGAGAAATCATGATTCATAGCAAAGAATTTTTAAAGTAATACTGCCCACTACTTGAAAGGCTGCAGTAAAATAGATCTTCTCATATTACTGGGACAGCTTAGGGGCAACAGGTATTAAAATCTTGGGGGTATTTCCCACAATTCTACTTTTTACAATCTAACCAAAGGAAGATTATGGCATCCTGACTTCAAAATGGAAAGTTACCTGCAGAGATGTTCATGGATGACTGCAGCAGATGAGTATTTGTAGTAATTAAAGTTGGAAAGAATATACATGTCTAAAGATAGCTCCTCTGTATCCCCGCTTGTGTGTTTTCAAAGCACTTTGCTTCTCTCAACAGTAATAGTATTGCCAGGAGTCAAAATAGCTCTGTCCTCTTGGGCAAGTAGCTTATCTTGCTGTGCCTATGAAGGTAAATAAGGACAGGGCCTGCCTTATCAGATAACATAGTACCTAACAAATAATAACTGCCCAACAAATGATCGTACTTAAGTTATTACTGTGCAGTGTCTCTTTGTTCATGTATTTCCACAAGGGACTAAGTACTCATAGGGGAGAGATTCTTTCTTTCCTGGCATGTAAGGAGATTCTTTCTTGCTTTTCAAAAAGTGATTTTGGGAAGAAAAGAGGAAAGAGTTTGATTAAATAAATTATGGTTCCTGCACTCAGTGAAAAATATGTAACATTTTCTAATGATGAAAATATAGACACTCTACCAGTGGTACCTAACCTTGGTTGCACATTAGAATCACTCAGGCAGTTTTTCAAATACTGATGCTCAGACCCACCCCACAAAGATTCAATTTTTTTAAAAAAAAAGTTTTCAAACTTCTAGAAAAGTTGCAATTACAATACAAAAAAATAAATGTTTTAAAATGAACATTTGAGAGTCAGTTGTCAATCTAATGTCCTATACTTCTAAATACTTTAGGGTATATTTTTTTAACATAAAAAAAGACCTTTTCAGTCATCTTATAAGTATCTGACTTAGGAGGTCAACATGGGTAGGTACATCACTATCCTAATTCTCAGAGTCCATCCCAGCTTCACCACTTGTCTCAATCAGGTGCCTCAGTAGCCGGAGCCAGCTCAGCATCATACACTACAGTTAGTTTTTTCTTTCGTCTCTTTCAGTCTAGAGCAATTTCTCAGTTTTTTCTTGACTTCCATGACCTTGACACCACTGAAAATAACAAGCAGGGTTCAAAGTGAATGTGTTCAGTTATGCCTTTGCTTGTCAGCCGTTGCTGTTGGCACAGCATAACACTCTGAAGCCACCCCCTCAGCCAAAAGATGCAGCTTACTTTCACACTATGAAAAGTTGTCAGTTTGGTCAATGGCGCTCAGATTTGGAATTTCTGGACCTGGAACATTTCCCAAAACAAACCAAGCAATAAATAACAGTAACAAAGCCACACTGGAGATAGACATAGTGACCAACTCTTAAATTTTGCTAAATGAGGACATTAGAAAAAAATCATCTCCCATCATCATTTTGTTTTAAAAGGACATTATCACCAATAGCATTTACTTGTAGAATAAGGGCTGTCTCTTCAACTGGACTAATTCAGCTTTCCCCAACAGCTGACTTTATGCTGGGTACGCCCAGGCACAAGGGCTGAAGTGGCCTGCTGCAGGTTCAGCAGAACAGAGTTATGTTTTCTACAGAGAATTTAAAACAGTAATAGAATCCATCAGAAGTTTTTCTGCTTTTCATTATCACTATGAACAGGCTATCAGAGAGAAAATCCTGTCACCTCCCCAGGCGGAGTGCTCCTGCCATCTCCAGGCTCACCTCTTGCTTTAGATGCCCTGATTTTTCCCAGTTTGCCAGAAGTGGTGAAATGTCATCCTAGCTAGCACCATCCACAGAGTGTTGATCTTGATTTTATTCAAATCTGACATAGCATGTATATGTCATGTTTCATAGGTCAAAGGGAAATGCAAACTATTCAAAGAAA